TTCTCTTAACAACACTGATCCACAATCAGCTCTCAACTTGTTTATTGATTGTTTTTGATTTGGCTTGTCAAGATATTCAGGAATTTGTCGGCAATGAATTCAATCTGATTCAACATTTGGACATCGTGTTTCATTGTATATCCCATTGGTGGAAAAGGTGAGTAAACAAAACCAAATTCAGAAAACGACAAAATAAAGAAAGCAGTGATCTGTATTTGATTGTGGGTTTATTTTGGTTTTTTGTAGAAGACAAGTCCATCGTCCAAACTGAGGTTCTCAGTTGGTGATTGATTAATCATGGAATCAACCTATTGCTGCAGCATTGTCTCATTTGCATCAAACAAAGAGGAAGCTGTGATCAGAAATATAAAACAGTTCTCATAAAACTGACACAGAAATGTGACCAGGAACTATTGTCTGTGTTGATGAATCTGCCTGACACTGATATCTCCATTTATTGTTTGGTCTACGCCCAAATGCCATAAAGAAGCCGAAGACGTTCGGTTTACAAACTTTTCATCCAACAAAAAGGCACAAAATCGAGACTTACTTTCTGCACATTCAACAAGCAAAAACCATTTGGTGACACAAACCCTACACACCTCAATTAAAATGTGTTTTTAACAGACGTGCATGAATTTCTTATCTCTGAGCTCCCCACAGGAAGATCACCGGCTCAGAGTTTATCCATCTTTTTGCATTGTGTTATGGCCGTCCGGCTTTTCCTTCTTCTCTCCCCTACACTGTGAACCTGCTGTGAACACAGATCTTTCCTTTTGACCAACAAATCAGTGAATGAGGAAAAATGTAAACTTGACAAAGGCTGTTATTCCAGAGTGTATTCAGGGGACCTACATTTACTCATCAATACTGCAGCAGTTTTTGTAGACCGAAATGGCTGAACGTTTATCAGTACAGTACAATACTAAATTGAAAGGAACATGCAAAGAAAAATTAATTAAAGTGTTATGTTAATATGACCAGATACCATGATCAGCCTCAATAATAATACAAGCTTGTGCCTCTGAAGTTTAACAATTAAACTTGGGTCAGAGAGCATCTAGTTCTGCAAAAACAATTATACCCAGCCATCTTTGACTGACTCTGTTTTGAAGATATCGTCAGGGTTGTGACAGACTCTTCATTCTGATAATAAATGATATTGTGTTTGTTGTACAGTAAAAGATTTTCAGTGCATTTATAAGTGTAGGCCTGTTCGTCCTGATTCATGGTCTCCTTACTCGATTTGCAGAACAATAGGAGTTATTATATAACAATAAAACAGTATAACAATAAACACACTAGGTGCTTTATAATAGCACAAGGAAATCTGTCATGGCTATCTGGGGTCAGTTTTACAAAGAGTGCAATGTGAAATCTGCAACTACATTATGAGTTCAGCTTCTCTCTGTTGTGTACCTGTGTAATAAAAAGAAATAATTGAGCTACAGCATCAAAGTGAACTGCACGATTCACAAATGTAGCTACAATTTGCAAATGGCAAACCAGACATTATGTTGATGTATTATTAAATAGCTTTTGCCAGATACGATGTGATGGAAAATGTAATGACAGACTGGATTACCATGATAAGAGCCAACGTTATTTTATCTAATGAAACACTAGATTAATAAAGTCGTCAGGAGGTGGGTGAGGGGAATGGAGTTTGTCCCATCTGTGGTTTAGGCAACAGAAGCCAATCAGTTTAGAGAAAGATCAAGGTTTTAGTTAAATGTGAATAAACATCTTGTTACTGATGAACTGTGAACTTTTTAAACCAGACCACGATCTTTCCACATCCTCAGGCGATTAAGACTAAACAGAACCTTAAGAGCTCATATCTAGGTCAAAGCCCAACAGTCTCCTCAAATTAAATCAAGCTGCACCAAACTGCACATTAAATATCACTCCTCTTAATATGCTGGATTTGTTTCATCATGATCCTTAAATTATTCTCTGAGGAATCAGTGAATGAAAAAAATAATAATAAAATAATGCAACGTTAAAAAAGGTGAAAAGAAATTCTGGATCTGCACCAATACATAATGGGTACTTAATATAGTATAAATAGTTGTGGATGTTGTACTGCAGAATCTCATATATTAGTAGAAAACTAATAAAATACATTACTAAACGCAGTGAATGTTATACTGGAAAATCTGTGAAATTAACACTTTTGAAAATTGCCTCAAATGTAAATTTGGAACATACCCTAAACATGCATTTTATTTCTTTTAAACAATTGTATATACAACTAATTAAATGGGTATGGTTGCAATTGTTTCAAATCTTTAAGCTAAGCACCGTCTGTCCTGACATAACCAGTAGACAGATATGGGATATGAGACATGACATCAATCTAACTCCCTGAGAGAAATGTTTAATAATTCTGGAAACATCCTCAGAGCATCTTTAACAAGTGTCTGGTTTGTTCAAAAGATCATCTGATGATTATTTCTCAGGAATGTTTGACTCAATTCTAACGGTGACATGCGACAGGTACAACCTGGAGCTTTTCCTGTGAGTGAGACCTGAACACACAGGACAAACGTGTCTCGGCCTTTTGAGCGTTTCTTTAATTACATCCAGCCGACACGTCTCAGTGGGTTTGAGGTTAAAAATATCCCAGCGGCAGCCAGACATATTCTATATGAGGCGTTGAAGCTGCTGGTTCATCTTCAGGACATTTCCAAACAGCACGGGAACTGAGCGATCGCTCACATGAACCCGAAGGCGATTACAATAAGGCAGCACAAAAGGCAAAACGTACACCACCGTTCAAATTTACTGCTGTACCCACGAACATGGAGCGAGGCTCAGAATGAGAATGAGCTTCGAGGATTTGTGCAGCGGCAACCCCACGGTTCATCGCTCTCCGCACTCTCAGCCTCTGGTTTTATCTGCGAGCTGCAGGGAGGTACGAATGAAATGTCTCGTTGATGGGTACTCCGCCCAGCGCACACACACACACACTCTATCTGAGCATCAGCAGAGCACACGCTAACAGAATCAACCCCTGTTCTCTAAACACCACAGTCCCACAACACGTGAGCATCTGCTGCTATTATGGCTGTTAATTCGTGATCTTGTCAAACACATCTTTCCTCACCAGACACTCCTGTTACTCATCCTGCTCGTTTCAAGCGCAGGCCTGGGCTGCAGGTTCCTGTACGTCGCCTCCTGTGATGTTACTGATGGTATTTGTCAGGACGTCACACTGGCAGCTGTGTGGATGGTTCAATACCCGGTGGATTATTGTATTCATATTTCACTTCAGCCCAGTTTCCATTTCACTGTTACACCAGATAGTGAGATGACATGGTTGAAAATACTCTCAGCTGCAGTGGTGGAAAATAACAAGTACTTTATTTAAAGGTGCCACAAGGAAGTTTTTCCTAGCCGCTGAATGTGGTTTCTTGTAGTGGTGCTTCAACATGTTGATGTCAAAAGAAAAGCTGTGTGTGTGTGGTGTGTGTGTGTGTGTGTGTGTGTGTGTGTGTGTGTGTGTCCATTTAATTTGGAGTCCATTAGTCAAAAGTAAAGGTCAACAGAAATAAGATACGTCTACAGCCAGAGAGATGATCCAAAGTCTATATTGTTCCATCATATGATGTCATGTGATAAGTGACATCATGAAGTCATAAAATGACGTCATGCATAGTTCAGAAATTAATTTCATGGACTATCTCTGCATCCTATAGAACCACAGACCTAAAGCCTGAAGCTTTAATAGATCAAAACTAACAATATTTACAATATGACAAAGTTTGCATTGCGTGACTCCAGTGTATACAGCCCATGTACAAAGCATGCATCACTCCACCAATGCTTTTCATTTACTTTGTACCAATGCAGCAATTTAAAAATACCCTGTAACAAGTCTATTCCAAGTTTATTCCAACTTGAATAAAAATGTCAGTATTATCAGCAAAGTGTACGTAAATTGCCCCCTGTGACTGATTAACATTATTGATTGTTAGATTGTTAATACTGATGTACAGTATCTTACCATCGTAGCTGCTGAGCTGGTTTGGACTCTCGTAAATGGTTTCGTATTTTAATCCACTGGTTCCCATTCTATAAATCGGATGAGTAACAGGATAAAACACTGTTCTGTTAGAAAAAGTTTGGATTTATTTTAGGGACTATCCTCTAGTCTTTGCTGTCTTTATTGAATAATGACTTATTTGACCAACTGAGGAGGTTTCTAGGTTTCTAGGTATCTGGTATATGTCGCTCGAAATCCATTTGCCTCTGTCTATTCTCTACCTGTGTGTGTATTTATATACTGTCCCCTGAAACCAATAAAAAAGAAAAGGATCATTAGTTAAATTGAGCTCTTAGATGTCTGAAACACAAAGTCCAATTATTTCGTAAGGGGTAATACACCAAAAGGGTTAGACACCACTGTTTAAGGCTTTTTATTTGTTTCTTTGTTTCTTGTCTGAAAGGTAACTTTAGTATACTGTATACTTCCCATCTATTCTGCTCCCCTTTTACATCCGGATAAAGATACAGTCAATGTTCAGGTCTCAATTTTATATAAAACATATTTACATCACACACTAGTTTTCTTTGTGTAGTTACTTTACACGTCATTGATATTTTTGGAACAAGATAGATAGATAGATAGATAGATAGATAGATAGATAGATAGATAGATAGATAGATAGATGGATAGATGGATAGATAGATAGATAGATGGATAGATGGATAGATAGATAGATAGATAGATAGATAGATAGATAGATAGATAGATAGATAGATAGATAGATAGATAGATAGATAGCATTGATGCATACCAATCTAATGCTGTCAGATATAAATTATATCTATATATAATGTATATAACAATAATATATTAGTCACAGGGCAACTTCACTGCAGGATAACTACTTTTACTTGTGACACTTCAGGATTATTTTGCTGATTACACTTATGTCGGAATTTGAATGACTTTTACTTGAAATTTAGTATTTCTGTTTTGTACTTTTACTTACGTAGGATTTGAATACTTCTTCCACGACCGGTCAGCTGACAGAAAATGGTTTCCATTTGTTTTGCGATGCCACAGGCGCGTGTTGTCTCCGACCTGCAGTCCATCTCCAGCGATGGTTCCTCCTGTGAATGAAAAACGGCCGTGAGGAGATTCATTGAGCAGCTGCTAATGTTTTTCTTCACCAGGCATGCACAGGGACATGAATTCAGATTATAGGAGCTAACACACAACGCTCTGTGAAAGTGTGTGCTGTCTGAAATGTCACACTGATAAATACCACATGGTACAGAAGTCGTGTGGCTAAACAAATTTCCTTCCTCAATCCACTCTGAGGAGAACAAGAGATAAAACAGGACTTTTATAGAATAGAATACTCTAGAGAATAGAGAACGGAATATTGTAAGGACCCTCCCCCCCGATTTCTGCATATTATCTGTGAAATTAACTGGGAGTCATCTTTCCTTGATCGATGCCAAACGTGTTCATCCACAGCTAATGTGATCATGTGACACTGTCAAAACATCACAACATAAAAAAGAGGCGTGGGCGGCAAACGAGAGTGAGCGCGGCCCTGACGTGATGGCTGGCTGATGAGAGAGGACGGGCTATTTTTAGCTCAGGGTGGGGGTGAATAGGAGGGGTGGGTGAGGGTGAGGCGGGTGAAGCGGTGGGGGGTGCAGCGAGCAGCGCGATGATGCTGGCGGTGGGGGCTTCTAGCAGGGGTTAGCTGTGATGCATCTCAAATTGCTTTGCTTTCCTGCATTCTGGTAAATGACGGCGATGCATCACTGTCTGCGGAGGGAGGGCAGCTCGGCTAATCAGTGCTCGCACTGTTCATCTGGGCCTGAGGTTACTCTGCACATCCATCATGGTGTTTGCTTCACTTGCAAACACAGGTCTAACTTCTGATGTAAAGGTCACTCACAGCAACAGTATTTACAGTGAAATTCTACAATTAAACACTTCAAGAGGCTTCTCATATTTTCTGCAGCTATCATTGCAAAATTACAGATATGTAATGTGTGTGTGTAAAAGTTAAAGATATATCTTTAATGTTTATTACACTAATATATCACATGCATTGTGTTGAGGAATTTTTGACCATCCTCACACATTACTGTATATGCCACTTTATAATAAGTATATTATGCTTTATCAGTACAGGAGAATAGTGCCTGTTTAATTCCACAGTGACCCCCCTCTTTTCAAGCAGTACCAAGGTCAGGTTATAGATAAAGGGCCAACTAGCAGTACGTTGTAGTCTACACTCATGGACTTTCATATCTAATTCAGATGCATACTTTAAACTAAACTATCCAATAGGATGTGAACACCAACATGTAACAAAGAGAGTGGCAGCAATGTTAGGCTTTCATGGATGTTCTGTTGACACAGGATGAAGGAGATATATGGAGATGCTGTGGGAGACTTGGGGGGTACAATTGCTCATGTTACTCTGTTAGTGTTTGTATATTGTTTCACCTTCTGGTGATCCATCAAGTCTACATTCAAATCTTCTGCATTAGACATCAGCTGCTGCCTGAGTTCTTCCATAACACATTGAACACATGTGTGTGCATATAAGTAACTATATATCCTCCTTATAATTAGAATTTAATATTATTTTTTTTAACATATTTTGAACAATTTTGAATAAAAATGTGAACATTTGTTTAGAAAGTGTTGCTGCTTGTAGTGAGGAAGAGGCTACTCCACTATCCATCCATCCATTAATCCCTGCATCCATCCATTGTCTATACTGCTTATCCTGTGGGCGAGAGGGGGGGCTACACCCTGCACAGGTCACCAACATATCACAGAGACAAACAACCATTCACACTCACATTCACAACTTTGGACAACTTAGTGTCTCCAATTAACCTGCACTATACAATTTAACCTTTTTCAATCAAGGTATCTCACTGAGATCAAATCACTTTGCACTTTGGAGAAAACAGCAGAGGGAAAGAAGCAAACAAAAGCACAATCAGCATCAGAGACGATCACAGACATCAATAGCAAGCAGCACTAACAAAAAGTAAAAAAAAGTAACCAACCAAGTGACACCAGTGACCTCGATAACAACTGTCTATAATCATAATTTATCCACAACAGTTAGCCTCGAGTCAACTTTTCCTGGGATGACTATAATGTTCGTCTCCTGTGGGCAAAGGTCAAGCACATGAATAAAAGATGGAGGACGTGTCTCCACTTCCTCCTGCACTGAACAAAAATTAAGCCAAAGTATTCCAGACATGCTGGCTGCCATTTTGTACAGGTAACATCATGTGCTCGACCAATCACGAGTCAGTCTCAGCCGTCAATCATGACTGTTTATGGCCTGTACTGCAGCCAGCCACCAGGGGGCGTTCGAGGTTTTTCGTCTTCATTAAGGGGACCTGTCATGTCGTCCATCTTTATATAGTCGAGGAGCATGACAATAAAGGATGTTGGCAGAATTAACTACACACATTATGGTTGTTTGGTCCCGTCCTTGTCAGAAACATCTTCATCTTTTTCATCAAGCGATGGGGGGGGGGGTACTCAAAATTCACTATAACCAGCATCACCATAAACAAATGATCTGTGATGATGAACTCATTTTTAAAACTCATTTGTCATAAAAATCATTTTGGGAATAATGGTAGGCCCTACTGAAAACGTAATAGCTGAAATTGCTCACTTTAGCATACGTCTGTCATGGAGTAATAAATCCAGAGGATTTCAAGCAATTTCATAAAACACAACTTTACAGCAGAATGAGATTAACCATTAACAAAAATCTAAAAAAATATCCAGCCCCGTCACTTTTACATATGGGGGAAGGGCTGCTGTTAATTAGTGAGATGCAGACAAGGAAACAGTAAGGGAGGAGACAGTTGTTAACTGAGCTGAGACAGCTAAGGGCCCAGAGATAAAGCAGGGGAAGTTCCACTCCTCTACCCAATGCCATTAGCGCTTGGCCCGGCTCCAGGCCTCCGAGGCTGGCTAAAATATGGCCGACCTGGACCAGCGTAGTGTGGGTGATACGGATCACGCTGTCAGGTGCCAGTCCTTTCACCCATTTTCATTTGTCACTGATAACATTGAAAAGATCAACTTCCTGATCACTCACATTCACATTGTCTGACTGAGCGAGAGTTTGCGCCGAAGGGAAACACATCCACAAAATCCTCACACAGCTTTGTTGGTCAGTACAGCACTGAACTCCAGGTTCTCAGCAGCTATTGTTTGGATTGCCATGAAATACCGTAAAGATATTTATGTTCCTCAGAGGATGAATCATAATGACGTTAAATGAACGTTCAGTCAGGACAGTCTCGTTGCACAAGCCTCATTAGTCACATGCACATCTCTAGGCTCCTCCAGCTCATTCTCTCTTTTCATCCAATCACAGCCTGACACACTCGCCTTAGGCCAAACACCTGTACGCTGCCAGAATTTAAAAAAAGCTCTCTCTCGCTCTCACGTCATTCAGGAGTCACTTCTGATCCATGACAGACCCACTGCACCACCTCAACTCTGGATACCTGACCAACTCCCTTTAACCGTCCAATCAGAAGCCTTACTGGGACGCCCCATCACCCAGGGCTCCATTCCTCATCACCACCACCAGATTCTGGTCTCCTTGATATCTGAAGCACCTAATTCTGAGGACCACTTCCATGGTGTCCTAATTTCTGCTGGAGTCCAAGATCCAAAGTCTATTCCTCTTGTTCACAATGCATTTCCTTTCATTCTAATTTACTTATACTCATCAGCCTCTCCTGGCTGAAACAATGCTTCAGACTTTTCATCTTGCATCGCATGAATGGTCATTCTCCAAGTTCTCCAGAGGATGAATCTTATTGACTTGTATTGATCCCAGGGATTTTCTCTTTATCTAGTGGAATATCTTAAAGCTAGGGTTGGTAATCCTGAAAACATTAGCTATAGCTGGCTCAACTTCAAATTAATTCTGCTATGGAGATCCAAGGTTTCTGTTCACATCATATCGCCACAAACTCTCTTGACACCTTTGTCTGTGTCTTCTACATGTGTGGCTCCACTTTTTAATACAGAGATACAAACAACTAACAAACACTAACTTCAACATCTACTAGATGAACTGGTAAAAAATGAACACCACTCATAGGAGGAAAATGTTAAAACAGTGGAAACCCTGTGGAGCACAGCGTGTGGAGCAAAATGATCACATGTTGCCTTGTGTACCTGATCAGTGCTCTGGAAACAACATGATGTCGACAGTCTCTGAGAGAACAAACGCAGAGACAGGACTTTTAACTAACAGTGACGCTCTCAGTATCAAGTGAGCCGGCTGCTCTGCTTCATCCGTTGCCCTGAATATGTGTGTGCATCTGAATATTTGATGAGGAAACAACGGCTCGCTGCATCTGAACAAAGCCCGGGGAGTGTTAATAAGAGTAAGTGCATCAACAAAGCACAGCAAACATGGCCAAACGTGACGGCTTAAAATTCTGTCAGCTCCCCACAACCCCCCAACCACAACCTTGGCCTCACATGACCCCCACCCCCCGTACCTACTTCATGCAGGATCTATATTTAAAGAGTTCTTGCGAGGGCATCATCTGACTGTCCGCTGTAAGCCCTGACAATGTGAGTCTAACTACAGCGGTGGCATAAAAATGATTCAGACCCTCCACAAGCTAGGAAGAAAAAAAATTGTTGGCTTAAAGAGCTTTACAAATCTTATTTTCTTAAGATGTGTAAGTTTCTTTGGATAAAAGTGTTTGATTGAATGACCTGGTAACAAATATGTCACTGCTGTTAATATATTTGCAATATATTCAATTCTTAAATAAACTGTAGAAATAAAAAACAAAAGAGAATGAAGCAGATTTCTGTGAAATAAATAAATAAAACTAAACTTGGATTTATAAAACTCTTGAAAAGCTAGATTTGCATTAAAAAAAGAACAGAATATTTTTGGAGTAATGGATCTAGATTGAATCTATAGAGCTACATCGCATGCGTAGCTCTGCCTATTCTGTATGTAACAGTGTTCATCCATATTATAATTACTGGAGACTTTCCACCACTGGTATACATACTGATCAATATGAGAGACATGGTGCATTTGTGCATGCAAGAGAACCAGAGCCACGAGCAGAAAGCGTCCGACAGGTCAAGAGCTCGATGGTCTATTTGCGGCGCAGTGTTTCGCCCTGACAGGCGGAGGCGGTGGGTGGGGAGAGGCGTGACAGCAGAGGCGGACAGACAGGCCTTAATGCACATATCGCTCATTCACATCCAGCAGCCACGCACCGCAGACCGTCTCCTGCAGCCTCCCACCACACAGGCCCGACTGTGAAGCCATGATCAGTGGGCTGGAATTCCTCTGTTTACGCTGCTAAAAATAGATTTCACACACTGTGATGACGTGGCATCTCGTGACGAGCCCCCCCCCCCCCAACACCATCACCCTCCTCCACCTCCCTCTCTCATCCAGACTGTAGCACCAAACGAGTCATGCGGCTATTGGCATGCAACGCTCAGCCCAGGCTGCACGCCACCTCTCCTCCAATCCTGACTATCTTTTATTTGGAAAAGGGTGGGGTGGGGGGGCGTCTGGCATGTGAACAAAATATGAATTTTAAGGGATGAGATGAGGGAAGGGAGAAGAAGAGATGGATGGATAGACAAGACAAAGAGGGGGTAGAGAGAGGGAGCAAGGAAGGAGGGGGAGGCAATCAATACTATGACTCATTCTTTCTGCGGTGGCTACTTCCTAACAGCATTCATTAAAGCAAACCTAATCATTTTGGCTCGATAATCAAATCCTGTCGGGCTCCATCTTCTTTCATTCCCCACCACACACATTTAAATCATACACAATGAACCTGAAATAGGTCTGGTGCGTTATGCCATGGTTCGGATGGTTGTGGTGACTGAGAAGCTGCGTGATACATCAGCTACCTAAATCCTTTGATAAGGAACCAACCAGTCTGAGACGTCTCAACAAATACATCACGGGATGCCATGAAATCTGTTTGAACCGGTTCCCAGTATATTCATTTGATGATGCTGACACCATCGTGAGTTTAATATTTGCAATTTGAGGGAAACATCTCAACCACGACCGCATGAAATACTGAAAAAAGTGGAATATACACACCACTAGCATGGCAGGAGGAGCCCAAAGAGATGCACTAAATACCAAATACATAACATGGAATGCTCCAAGTTGAAAAGCTGGAACCAGCAAAGTTTACACTGAAATATTTCAACAACTATAGGATGAAATACCGAAACAATCGTGATACAGACTAACATCGCTTTGCAAAGAGCCACATGATTGGATGGCTGGTGGAGTCCAAAGAGATGCAACAAATAAGAATTTACAAAACCAAAACAAACTGAAAATCTTCCCAGGTTTACCACCGTGGTCTATGCTCAAATACTATTGACTGAGGGTGAATCATCCTGAAACGGATGATGCCCTGATGTGTCCTCCAGCTGGACACTGACATTTGTTGTTTCGAGTGAAATATTTCTACTACTGCTGGATGGATCGCCACGACATTTTGCTCCACACATTCATGTTCCCTTCAGGGTGAATTGTAACAACTCTGATGTATCTTTTTAGCTAGCGCCACCATCAGGTCGGCTCTTAACCTAGAAATCATCACGTCGAGAAACCGTTGGCACAATGGTTGTGAATGCACTGACAGTTATATCACAATACAAAACATTATTAACACAAATATAGTCCATTCATCTCATTCTACAGAAGCTTTACACTGTTTGTTCGTAACCGGTGTGACGACAAAGCACTGCGGTGCAGCCCCACAGAGCTGCAGGTGCAGCTGGAGACTCTGGAGGGAACATTATTCTCAGTATAAAGCAGCATTTTCTGTTGAAAAGGGATAAAATAAATTATTACACCTGCCCACATTTTATGGATGATTTATTTTCTGCATCACAGCCTGAGCAGTTTGGATACATACGTGCAGTAAGATTAATATACTTCTTTCACTGTACAGCACAAAGAGCATGTGGTAGTACTGATTATTTAAAGCACTGAAGTGACAGGCAGGCTGATAAATGCTTTCCAGGTTTCAAGTGTGCTTCCTAGAAAGTTTTGGCTTCACTGCTTCCGTCTAAATAAGTCAGAAGCTGCTGGTGAGGATGAAACACAACAGCTCCAATGGTGTTTTCACCTTCACTGTCTAAGAATAGACATTGTTAGCACTACCTGGCAAGGACAGGCAGGGTTTATACAGCATGTCAGGGAGCAAGTAACATGAATTCATATGGTCCTTTACAGAAAGAGAAGATGACTTAAAAGGGGAAACATACATAGAAACATAGAAGCCAAAAATATGGGATCATTTCTGGATGGACACAATCATTTTGGATAGAGCTGAGGATCATTAATGGAGTTCTTAGTCCTGATATCCTATATTCTGTTCTCGAACTTGTGTCCTGTGAAGGATTCAGACAGACGTGGAACTAGCAAATGAAAGGTTGATCCAGTTTAGTGCTGAAACAAAGCTGTGTCTCGAGAAACGGAAATCCCGATCACGATTGTCAGTCATCACAAATATCTGCTGAAGGCTTTGTTCACTTGACTTAAGAGTGTTTCACTTTCCTGTATGAGCCTCTTGTTACACACTATATGGCATACATAACGTGTCCTCCGTCCTTGACTGCCATTTGCACAAATTCAAAAATACATTGACGGTCCCTCGTTTTCCGCCATGGCAACTGTTGAGGGTGAGGAGTGTTGTTTCACACTTGTGTGAACCATCTGGGTACTTATAGTGAACTGCATATTGCCATACTTGTTAGTGTGAACACACGTTTTACACAAACAGAGACACAATTCACACAATCAACAGAATTTATCATCCAACTCTTAAGTTATTTATCAATGGAAAACAACAGTACTACTCTCATTTTAAAACTTGTCCGTGTCCTTTGTTTTATGTCATTGTCAAATAAATATATTTTGGATCCAATTTTTTTATATTTTCTGACAATTTATAGCCCAAAAGATTGATTTGTGAAGTAACTGATGCAAATAAAGTAGGTTGCAATGTATAAATCCTACACCTTAGTCCTTTAATTGTGAAGCAGGTCAATACTTAATGAATTGGTTAACAGGTTAATTAATAATTACTTGCAAATATGTTGGAATAAAAGATTGTAACATGAACTAAAATGGCTCCTGCATTCCTCCATAATTTAATTTGAAGACTGTAAAGGTGACCTGTGGAGTTACTGACCACTAGGAGCACTATGAGCCAATGTTCAATAGAGAAACTTTTGTTTATTGACAGAAGAATTAGATGATTATCTATAATACACTTCTCTGCCACTGGTCTCACAATATTTTGCTCATTAAGTTCAATACATCAAGAAATAGAGAAAGGCAACAATAGCTTTCAAACTAATATGTACACAATGCAGTAATGCAAAATACAAACACACATTTTAAGAGGAAGTAAATGGACTTACATTGTTTTTTAGACTTTTAAAGTAAATACAGTGTTTTTGGTGGGGAACACTGGGAAACATAACCTAAGATGAAACTCCACAGGCCGCCTTTCATCATTTTGCTTATGTATATTGTTTTCACATGATAAAATAGTGTTTAATCCAGTTTTGACAAACCAGCAAAGTGAATCAGAGGCCATGTATAGTCTCCTGCAGGCGCCGTACATTACAAGGTAGAGTCCAACCAGGTTAATTCAACCATGAGTTACTGGGCATTGTACAAATACTGGGTGTGTTATGTACATAAATGAAGCAGTCTGTAGACCCAGCACCTGCTCTGAAGTATATATTCACTACCTTTCAGTTACACATAAAGACACACACACCCATTTTATAGGGCTGGGCAAAAGCCTTACATCAGTTGATGTTAATACTGATCATGATGAATGGGACATTGTTATTTCTGTAAAGTTGAAAGACTGATTTTTGCTTCGGATCAGTTTGTGGTTGTAAACTCTTCTTTATGAGCCGAGAACGACAAACACTTGACAAACAGATGAACATTGTATGAATCTGAGGTGGATCACTGATGTGTTAAACCTCCTCACTGTGTTTACACAATGTGATATCGATATATATTGAACCTTTGTTATATTGCTATTGAGGACAATTATATTGCGATACAGATTGTTTTATCGGCCCTATA